GTTGAGACTCTAGAAAGAGTACAGAGAAGAGCAACAAAGATGAGTAGGGGACTGGAGGCTAAAACATATAAGGAATGGTTGCTGGAATTGGGTATGTCTAGTTTAATGAAGATAAGGATGAGGGGTGACATGATAACAGTGTTCCAATATCTCAGGGGTTGCCACAAAGAAGATTGAGTCAAGCTATTCTCCAAACCACCTGAAGGCAAGACAAGAAGCAATGGATGGAAACTAACCAAAGAAAGAAGCAACCTAGAACTAAGGAGAAATTTCCTGACAGCTAGAACAATTAACCAGTGGAACAACCTGCCTCCAGAAGCTGTGAATGCTTCAACACTGGAAGTTTTTAAGAAGAGACTGGGCAGCCATTTGTCTGAAATGGTATATTATTGTTACTGTTATTGTTATTGTTATATATGGAAAATGTCAAAGTTGGGAAATACTGCTTTAGAGCAGTGGTTCTCAACTTTTTTTCACCATGGACCCCCTTTAAATACTTTTTGTGCCTATGGACCATGGGCATGGCCCCCAAGACCTAACTTAAGATTTAAATCATTAAATTGCAGTGTATTCGGCTTCTAATAGGCAATATACTTGACTAACTCTACATATTTTAATATTGTACAGTGTATTTTAGAAAATGCATTCATATATATAATAAGGTGTTTAGGACTATTTTGACATATGGTATTGCTTGTGCCTAGTGGAGGAAACAACATGAACTAACATTGACAAAACTTTAGAATTTGGTTCGTTTGTGCATGGACTACTTCTGAAAATTTTCAGGGGGAAAAGAAATTAGGTACAGCAGAAGACTAAGAAAAATCAGTAATAATATAATTTGCAAAACATAACAGGGAAATTCTCCATTTTGAATATACAAGGTCTGAGCACCATTAATAGAGGTTCTCAAACTGGAGAGTGTCACCAGTAACTCTGGGGGTTACATTTTGGAAGCAATTTAGATATAACCAAACTGGAGACAACTGTCAAAATTTGTTCTAGCATCACCAAGAAAAAATGGTTTGTGCAGGAAGTATAAACAGAAAAGCCCATTATTAGTTGTTACAATACTCCAGGCCCAGGAAGAGATCAGTGTATTACCTCCACAAACAGAGGGACCAATGAAACAACAAGTTGGGTTTTGAGTGGAAGCACGTGTGGAGATGCTGCTGCAATTAAGAACCTCAGGAACATTTCTAACACTGCTCAAGTCAGGTTTGGGCATATGAAGGGTTATTCTCAAATCTACTATGAAATGACATCTTAGTTAAATAGCCAACACAAGGACACATAGAGGTTCCAAACTCATAATATGGCAAGTCCCAGCAGGCTGAAATTACTGGCAGCCTGAGCTATTTCCCATCATTTCCAGATTGAGGCACAAGAGGAGCTTATGCCATCCAAGGAGATCTGTGGCTTTGTCAAAGAGACTATCTGGCTGCAGTGATGGGGAGAAAACTTATCATCCAACTGAGCCTGTTTTCAGTACAAGGCCCAGGAATAGAGAGCAACCTCAGCAAGGCAAATTGTTTGGCAACAGTCACAGGTTAGAGAAAAGAGGATGAACTCAGGGCTTCCGGTTTTGCACAATAGCGCAAGTAGCCGAGGGATTGCGGGGTTCTGCACCCTACGGCCAATTATTTTCTGTTTGGGGACCCTAAATGGGCCTAAAGTCACCCCGGAGAGGTAACAAAGAAGGAGGAAGCCCCGCCGACCATGGGGAGATGGCGGTCAATCCGGTTGTTCAGGGAAAGCCCTCCAGAAACCAGCAGAAGAAAGGCTAGCTTCACTGCAGAGTCTAGCCCAGGGGTAGGCAACCTTGGCTCTTTTATGACTCGTGGACTTCAACTCCCAGAATTCCTGAGCCAGCATGGCTCAGCTTGAAAACCTCTCCCTTTTCCCTCAGCATGGCTGCCTCAGGAATTCTGGGAGTTGAAGTCCACGAGTCATAAAAGAGCCAAGGTTGCCTACCCCTCATCTAGCCCAAGCTACAAGTAGCCAAAGCCCAAAAGCACTAATTTAAGCTTGATCATAAACAATGTGTTTGGAACTGGGTAAGAATATTGATTTTTCTCTTCTACTTGATATTTGATTTCCTGGGGGGAAAAAAACCAAGAAGCAAAAATTCTCTGAAAGTGAGAAGGAGGGGGATTCTTGCCCCACCCTCTCATAGAAGGAAGCGGTGAACTAAACTTTTATGAGGGGCAGAAATATATTGAAATGAAATGAATATAAGACTTAAATCTGGATAAGTTTGAAATTGGTGGAATTTGTTAAGATTTTCTTTTCAATTTAACCTTACAACAAAAAAACTCTCAGAAAATAAAAACAGAGAGTGATCAGATAAAGTAGACAACTGAACATAAACTAGAGGAAAGAGATTTAAAAATGGAACCCAACAATGGAAGGAATTATGATTTAACTCAGGCGGAGAAAATCTTGCAGGAAATATTGGACGTGGAAAAGATAACCTACACTTCAAGATTGCAAAATAAGCCTGAGGACAAGAAAAAAGATTTGACAAAATGGATTATAGAGCTGTCAGGAGAACTACAAGAACTTGAGAGACAAAAAATGATAAGAGAAATTAAGAAAGAAATTAAGAAAGAAAGAAATTAAGAAATTAAGAAAGAAAGAAAGAAAGAAAGAGAAAGAAAGAAAGAAAGAAAGAAAGAGAAAGAAAGAAAGAAAGAAAGAAAGAAAGAAAGAAAGAAAGAAAGAAAGAAAGAAAGAAAGAAAGATTTTCAATGAATATGAAGGGGTGAAATCCTCCCACAAAAACATTTTACTGGATTTGTCTCCTGTACCTACAACAACATCTACATGGGACATCTACGATAATATCTAAGACAACATCTACGACAACATGGGAAGACTTTTTGGTCCAGCAGAACACACTGATTAGGAAAGATGTTTGGCAAAAAAAAAAAAAAAAAGGCTAAAGTTAGAATTAAGAAATTGGATGATGGGACCTATCAGATGGAATATTTAAACATTTGTTTGAATTTGGTTAAAAAATAGAAAAATTCTGGATATAAATGTATTTTAGTTTAAGAAGGATAGGCCCCTCAAGTAACACAGTATTTGTTATGTCCTGGGCCTGTGATTGACAGAGCAGGTGCAGGAAGCTGCAGAGAGACCCGGGCAGACCACATGGCTGCCCGGGCCAGACAGGCTGTCTCCAGCCTATTGCGCATGCGCAAAGCGGGAAAATACGTTGCATTTATTGGCTGACGCTGTTCCCTGCAAAAGGGTATAAAAGGGATCCGCGCCATTTTGTGTTGTTCTGTTGAAGCTTGAATAAAGAAGCAACTGTTGTTACTCCTGTCTCGTCTCAATGCCTTACCAACGCACAGAACAGAACAGTATTCTTGTTTTTTATTTTTTTATTTTTATGATATGAAAAATATAAAAATGTTGGGATGGTTTATATGAGGGAAAGGTTTTAGATATTTAAGTGTAATTGATCTTGAGAAAATCTCAGTTGACAAGAATGTTCTGAATAGACTCAAAAGATTAGATGATTGGATTTATTAGATGGAATATTTAAAGATTAAGCATCTGTTTGAATATAGTTATAAAGAATAGAACAATTCTGGATATAAATGTATTTTAGCTTAAGAGGGATATGTTTTTTAAGTAGTGTATTATTTCCTTTTTTTCTTTTTCTTTTTGTTTGTTTTTTTAAGATATGAGAAATGTAAAACTGTTGGGATGGCTTGTATGATGAAAAAGATGTAATACATAAGTGTAATTAACTGAGAAAATTTTAACTGGATGTTTTGAACATTGTGGGGAAAACAAATCTAAATAAGAACTTTGAAAACAGGACTTATGACAAGGTAATTAAGATGACCACTTGGAAAAGAAGCTTTATATTGGTGTGGTTGTTAAATACTAGAAAAATGTTTATATTCAATTGTTATCATCAAAATATTAAGAAATGTACTAATTTAAGGTTCGTAAAAGAGAATATTACTGGAAGAAGAGAAAATCAAAGAAAGCTACCATGTGGATTATGGAATTATAGAAATTAATTGTTATGGATTGTTTTTAAATGTAAACCCAGACAACATGCTGTTTACCAAATATTAAGGTGACTACTGTATGTTAAAAAAGTCAATAAAATATATTAAAAAGAAAAAAAGAAAGAGGCTGAACTCAATTCTGTACACTGCCCTTTAAAAGGGATTCAGTAGCAAGGCTGTACAGGTAGTCATTGACATACAGCCATACGTTGAGCAACCATTCAAATTTACAACACTGCAGAAAAAGTGACCTGCAACCGGTCCTTGCACTTATGACCATCACAGCATCCCACAGTCATGTGATTGCAATTTGGGTGTTTGGCAACCAGTGTAGATTTACAATGGTATCCAGGGGTCACATGATCACCAGATAACTTTTGACACGCGAAGTCAGTGGGGGAAGTTGGATTTGCTTAATGACCACATGATTTGCTTAACAATTATAAAATCAAGTGCAACTCACTTAACATAGACATGGAAGTTCCAGTCCCAATTGTGGTTGTAAGTTAAGGGCTACCTATACCAGCAAAAATGCAGAGCTGTCAAAGCTCACTCCATTCCTACTTTGCCTGGAGAAGCCAGCAGCTGACTTAGCAAGCAAAGTGGAAGGAACAAAGATCCAGCATCTTTGGACTGCCTCACCCCTGGCCAAGCAAAGAGACGTGAGGGAAGATGAGGGAGAGAAACGCAGAGTTGACAATGTTCCTATTTTTCATGCAGAAGTGTATGCAAAATGGAAGCATTTTTCAAAATTTGCTACAGCTTTGGGTAACCGCTAGGGCTAGCCATTTATCAAAACATCCAATCAAGCAATCAACTTTCATTTTATTTATTTATATTCATTAGGAATATAAGGAATTCCTTGCATTACCATTTTATGGGGATTGCGATATCAGGAACACGTGCTAGATTAAGAAACTTGGTATCAAGCGTTTCACTTGGCCATCTTCAAACCTTGCATTTTCTTACCCTCTGTTTCCGCAAGCTTCCTGGGCTAGTAGGAGAAGGGCTTGGAGACTTCCCGGAACGGGGAGTAGAAAGCTGACTTCCAGGCGTTCCATTAACTAGAGAAACATAAAAACAGACAAGAAAACATGGGTTTGGACCTGGCACCATTATAAACACCCAAAAACATATTGTTCACATTAGCCAACACTTTTGCTTTGCCCTTTGCAGTCTGCAGTCCTAACAAGAATTAAGTAAAGATGCTCTGAAGCAATTAATCACTATAATGTGGGTTCCTCTGTATTCAGTTGGTACTTACTTAATAAGTGATTGACCAATTTGTATTCAATCCGTAACCACAATGAAATTAAAAGTATTGTCTTCAACTCTGGACTGCTTATCCACACACACACACACACACACACACACACACACACACACACACATATGATTATACTTGCTCTTAAAAAAACCCTTTAACAATTGGTCTCTTCCCTTCCTTTTGAGAGATGAGATGTTTTAATGTTATCTTTTAGAAATATCAAATTATTGCATTATATTAAACGGACATTTATTACTACTGATACTAACTTGGAACTGTTGGAAAGATTTCTGGGTGATACATTTGACCTAGGCATTAACTTATCTGTGACTCTTTCATTTATAAGATCACTCACTCACCCTTCCATAGTTGCCTTCATAAAAATGAGAGATTTCTAAACTGTTGCTATATTCTCTACAATCCCTTCCTACTTACATAACATTTGCCTTAACATTTAATACAAAAACTTCACAGCTGTGAAAGCTTTAGAATAGAAAACATAGGCAAATAATGCTAACATTGCACTGAAAAGACAGGAGACAGACAGAGAGAGAGAGAGAGAAAGAGAGAGAGACAGAGAGAGAGACAGAGAGACAGAGAGAGAGACAGAGAGACAGATGTTATATTATAAAATGTCTTCTCAAACATGCTATTGCTAGGTCACAATTATATTATACATCATCCATAAAAAAGCAGTAACCAGCAGAAATCCAAATTCTCTATTTTGCACTGATATTTCCAGCCATGATACTAATAAGGCATTGAACTTACCTTCTATGAGTTCTAACATGGAAACAGACTTATTTTTAACCTGATAAAGCCAAGCAGGAAAATATTTGCCTTTTGTACTACACTCAGGCACTGGCAGAAACAGGAAGCGCTAGGATTAGTCAAGGGTTGCCAAAGCAGCTAACAGAGAGAGCTGAATAAAATGCCGGATTCATAAGCCAAAGCTTTTTCTGCGTAAGGCTGACGTCTTCCGAGCAGCAGTAGGAGGTGTAGGTGCTGTCTTAGGGGCTACATCAAAGGTATCAATACACAAGGATGCTGAGCAACTGCAACCCTCACTCTGATCTGTCGAGCCCCCATAGCTTTATATGCTGCTGCACACTGAATCATAATGAAGTGCCTCTGGGAACAATATACCAAATTACTCATCTGAAAATCACAATAATAATAATAATAATTTTTATCAAAGCTTAGCTGACTGGTAGCCTCCGAATTGCTATTCCCAGTAGAAATTTTAAAATATTGTCAGATGGGAAGGATATTTTTCTTTTCCATCTGCCAACAATGCACGGTGATAAATATTCTGCCTGGTTACCTAGATGATGTGTTCCTTATTCAGCTCAGACACAAAAAAGCACTTTGTGGAATGATAATTAACTATTACAATACTGTTATGTTAAATTTGTCTTTGGAAGCTTCTTTTTTGCACATTGGATTAGAATAGGAAAGTTATAGCAGTAGCACAAAAGTGGGAAACCCGTAGCCCTACAGATGTTGCTTAAAATAATCCTAGCCAATAATCTTTAGCAGCCCTAGCCAAAAGCTCAGGAACATCTGGAGGCCAAAATGATCTTAAACTTTGAATTAGTTCTTAAATTCAATTACTATTACAGCAGAAAGGCTTACCATTAAATTTAAAAAATCTGCTATTTAAATCATGTGAACTTTTGGAGAATCTTTGGTGAATTAATGCCAAAGACATTTGCTTGTGAATCACCACTCATTCATCAATAACATTATCAGTGGGGTGTGCTTGGACATGGATAATTTATAAGAAATAACAGTGTATTCTAAGGGAGGAATACTGACACCAATGTTGCCGACAACACATTACTCCTAGCATGATTAATTGCTTTGCCTCTAGATAATTTTTGCTTAGAATTATGACTATAGCACAAATTTGCACTGGACTTCTATTTGATTACTGTTTCCCTAAATGCTTATTTAACTTTCAAGCAAAAGCAATAGTTTAGAGATAGAATTTTAAATGCTAAACCCTCTTTCTGATATCTCTAGTTCAAAAAAGTTGAAAACTTTTCAACTCATAGCAGAAGGAAAGTTCTACAAGTGTAAACAATAATAAACTAATTGAAATAAAAGTATGATTCACTATTTTCCACTGCCTACTCCATCCATCTGATCCTAACATTTTTCAGAATGCATAATGAAAGTTTTGGAAATTATATATTTTATGCATTATTACATTATTAGGATGACAAGCAAATAGACATCATCTCACTTCTGCAATTCTGGCACTTATATTTTCAAAAACAATATACATTATTTGCATTTTGTGATCTAATGGAAATGAACACCCTCCTTTCCAAAACAATATAACTCCTTAGGATGCAGAAGATGCCATGTTGCTAATATTGGTATTAAATGTCACCCTCACCCAAAACACTTGACGAAGTTACAGTAGAGAAATTACTGATGAGGTACAAGAAAATCAGGGGAAGCCAAATACTGGATATTGGCTTGTTTTCTATATTCTACAAAAGCTTTTCCTGCACTGGAAGATCAGGGTTCAGTTGACTATGCAGACAATGTAGCAGAACTTTTGTCTTTTGTTCGATTTTTGAAAACCTGTTGGACAATTTTTCTCTTACATAAAACATTGGTATACAATAATAATAAAAATAGTTGGGGAGAAATAATTATAGAAAAGGATGATTTATTACTCTACAGAACTTATATTGTTTTACTGGCATAATGGTCTTGTCTGGATCTTGAAATTTTAGCATTAAAGAGTTGGAAGGGAATAATGGATCATACACACTTAGAACTAGAGCTGGAATCTCCATCTCCACCCCTACCATAGTTATGTAAAAATTAAAGTATTCATATCATATGCCTCTCCAACTTCTGTGTGAATGCATTCAGTAAATGAAAGTTGATCATCTCTCTGGAAGATTTCATTATCAAACGTCTCTTGAATTGAAATAAGGAAGAATTAAAAAAAATTCCAGGCATAATAATTACAGTATAACTCATCAATTTAAACAGGATAAAATTTAAAGCTTTCCTGATAAAGCTTGTGATACTTTAGCTAGACACATTTCTATCAGGTCTTACAAAGTGCAACCTTTCTCATATTAGAAATGTATCACCAGACCATTTGGACAACATGATCTCAGAAACCAATTCTTTCTTGTCAACACCATTTGCAAGGTCTGTCAGTCACATGCTATATTTTTCTTTCTCTTTTTGATTATTTTAATATAATTAGTTGGAAATATCATGTGAGCTCTTAGGTTCTTAAGTATCCTTCTTAGATCAGGCATGTCAAACTGCCGGCCTGTAGGCCAGAGGTGTCACGCCGAAACCGCACCCACCCCATTGCCAGCATTGGGGAAAAAGTCCCAATACATTGCGCGATGTCATGTGATGTCACGAGTTTGACATGCCTGTTCTTAGATCTTCAGAGCCTAAGGTGAAATAGTTCTAGGTATTTCTGATACTTGATCCAGTTCTATGGGTATAATTCATTTTAGGATATTGCCACAGCAAGTCTAATATTAATATAAAAAACCCAAGAAAAAAGGAGAAAGTTGGAGATTAATGTCATTTACTAATAGTATATTCCTTAACTTGTAGATAGGTTGTTCTCAGGATTCAGTGGCAAAGGTCTAGTTCAAAGAAGTGGTCACAACTAAAACTGAAGATCCTGGTAAAGGGTTTGGAATATACAATATAAATTCTTAACAAGCTCAAATAAGAATTTTGGGCCATGCACTTTGCTTTTTGGTTTTATTGCTATTTCAGTAATAAAAATGAGAACTCAGGGAGAAACGCACGTGGTTGCTTAGATAAGCTTCCGTTATGAAATCCTTCCAGACAAATAAGATTTCCTTTGCTATGGTGTGTTAATAAAAAAAGAATAAAATAAAATCACATGAGATCTCTTGGGTGCTGTATCATGGATCAAATCCTATTAACCACTGAAGTCTTCATGACAGTTTATGATAAGAAAGTTTTTCACATTCACACCATCATCACTCGACATAGAAAATCAGATGCAAAATACAGATAGTCCTCGATTTACAACAGTTTATTTAATGACGGTTGCTGAAATTGGGTATGTCCAAGTCTCTGGAGCTCGGATCCATGGCCGCAGGGCGATTTTGTGGCACTCCAGCGGCCCAATCCAGGCTCTGGAAGCTTGGAAAAGGCCTCTACCACCCAGATCAGCCATGGAGGGATGCAAAATCGCTCTGCAGGTATAGATCCGGGTGGCAGAAGCTTTTTCTAGGCCTCCGGAGCCCAGATTGGGCCGCTGTGGTGCCACAAAATCACCCCATGGCCATGGATCCGAGCTCCAGAGTCTTGGAAAAGGCCTCTGCCACCCGGATCGGCCGTGGGGAGAGCGCAAAATCACTCTGCAGGCATAGATCCGGGAGGCAGAGGCCTTTTCCAAGCCTCTGGAGCTCAGATCCATGGCCACGGGGTGATTTTACAGTGCACCAGCAGCCCAATCCGAGTTCCAGAGGCTTGGAAAAGACCTCTGCTACCCGGATCAGCCGGGGTGTGTGAAAAACCACTCTGCAGGCATAGATCTGGGTGGCAGAGGCTTGGAAAAGGCCTCTGCCCACCCAGATCAGCCATGGGGGGGCCGCAAAATCGCTCTGCAGGCATAGATCCAGATGGCAGAGGCCTTTTCCAGGCTTCCAAAGCACGGATCGGGCCGCTGGGGCACCGCAGAAATCACCCCGCGGCCATGGATCCGAACTCCAGAGGCTTGGAAAAGGCCTGTGCCGTCCGGATCGGGCTGCTGGGGCGCCGCCAAATCGCTCTACAGGCATACCTGGACTCGCGCTGGTAGCTGCCTCCACCATCCAGCCTGGATCCACCCAGTTCTTGCAGCTGATCCCTGACTCCCAGTGCAGAGAGAAAGAGAGCGAAAGCACAGGCGCACATGGAGAGGTGGAAGGGAGAAGCTTGGCCCCGCCTCCCTCTGGGGCAATGGCGCGCGTGCCCACAGGGATGGCTCTGCCTGCCACCTATGGCACGTGTGCCATAGGTTCACCATCATGGTCCTAACCTAACTAATTCAGAATTATAGAGTACACAATATAGCAGGAAATTCCTTTTCTTTCCCAAATATCTACTTTAAAACACTCAAAGGGATAAAGGATCAGAGGAGCGAGCATCCCATAGCACTTCTCCCTAAAAACTGATATATAACCACAAAACTTTCCTCTATTAAATCCTTTAGACCATTAAAATAAGAAAAAAGTATACCTATTCTATCTCCTACCACCAGTTTACCTTCAAATAATTTAATTACACAAAGGGTTTGCTGAATAAGGATTTTAAATATCCGGGACAAAGTACATTTTCTTTCTGAAATTTTATTCCAGTTACAATATTTGTATAGTATATAGACTTCAATTCATTGGTGAGATAAAATACTTTTAATTATTTGACAATCCAATCCGCAGTAGGCAAGAAATACTTTTTATTCTCCATTTTGAAAACGAAATATATTTGAGACAACTACTAAGTACATATATTTAACCACATTTAAATAATTATGATAGCCAAAGAGTTACCTGCTACTTAGTCAAGTTTATATGCAGGATGTTACCTGAGCTGGTGGATGCTGGAGATTTGCTTCGTCGGGATGGACCTGGACTCTTAGTGGTGCTCCGACGTGGTGTTGAAGCTATTTTGGTATAGGAAGTAGATTTCACTACACGACATTCTGAAAGTCAGACAAATAGCATTCCATTAGTACGCTGAACAGCATTCTTATTTCTGCCTCAATATGATTTATAGAAAAAAAGATCTTGAAAGTATTCCTTGCTGTCCTTTATAAAAGAATGGAAATCAAAGCCCATAACTTTCCCAGTTTCTGTTGTGCAATCCAGATGACATTGCTGGTGTAATTACCAAAATTCAAACTTTCTTTAAAGGATCCTAGAAGGTTCAACTTAAAAATGAAGCAACTCTGCTGCAGATAAATTCACACAGGCCCATAAATTTGTCTTCTAGTCTTCCACTTCATCATTCAGTTTTGCAGTCATGTGTGAAGTATAGCCAAGTATATCTGAAAGGATGTCTCTGAAATTTATTTCCATATCAAGAAGGACATATAAGTAATGCAAGCCCCTGGCATGTCTGTCACACAATATTTTAAGAAAAATACAATATGTTTATTTATCCTACATAATTTGATGAATGGCTGCTCACAATAAAACTCACAATGTGTATCTCAGGCAGGACTAGACTGTTTTAGATTTTCATAACAGATGATGAAAATCAATGAGGAAGTAAAATTGCCCTCCCACACTTGGGAACAACTCTGTGTCTATAAATGTGCAGAAAGCCACAACTGCAAAATGGATCTTTGACAAACTTAAAGAAATCAAGTTCACATGAAAGTTGATAGAATGTAGTGATAAAATATTTGTCCAACAGAGCAGGGCTTTTCAACCTTTTCACCCATTGTACCACTTTTAGGATATGGCAATATCCGAGTACCACCAGGCGCCTAGCAAGGTGTCAAAAACTTGATGATCAAAAAAAAAAAAAGTAAAAAAGTAATGAAGTACAGGTAGTTCTTGACTTACAACAGTTCGCTTAGTAACTGTTTGAAGTTACAATGGCACTGAAAAAAGTGCCCCCCAAGGCACAGCCAAGCAAGACAGCTGCCTGCCTGCCTGCCCGGCGGCGCTCTTCCTCCTGTCCGAGGTTTTCATTGTTGTGAGCATTTCTGTTGAGGATTTGGGGTGGGGTGGGGGGTTGTTTGGTTTTTATTCCCCCCGTCTGCTGGGTGGTTGCAGCAGGTTTTGGTCACTTCATATGACCCTGGGACACTGTGACCGTCATAAATATGAATCAGTTGCCAAGCATCTGAATGTAAATCACAAGACCCTGGAGATGCTGCAACATTCCAGCTGATTGGTGCTTCTTCTAGGCTCAGCAGAAGCAGCAGGATCAGCGCCGAGCTCTAGCTGGAGCCTGGCGCTGATCCTAGCGCTTCCGCTCAGCCCTGACAGCCCTGCAGCTCCAGCCATCTCTCGCTCAGGCTTGTGCGGTGCTGCCACCGGTTCAGCTCATTCCCCTCCCCCGCTACCACTTTTCTAGGATGGTCGCGTACCACCTGCCAGGGACCAATGTACCACAAGTGGTACCCGTACCACTGGTTGAAAAGCCTTGCAATAGAGGACCGAATGAAAAAAATGTATTTGGAAAAATGGATCCAAATGAGTCACTTGAAAAAATTATAAAATATAAAGTTTACTTTTTGGCAGGTATACAGAGTCTGGTCCTTACAAGATCTCTGGTTCAGGTGGTTCAGATTCCACTTTGAACCCTTGACATCTACACCAGCTAAGGGCTGTGACAGTTTGTTTGTTTGCTTGTTTGTTTGTTTGTTTAGCATATGATGAAAATGTGGCAGAAGAGAAGTAAACTTATATACACATTCCATGTAATTATAATTAAAGCTTCTATGGGGCTATGATGTCCATTCGGCTATCAGGGCAATCACCTCTGGCGTTGCTTCATGCAGATACTCTAAGAAACCAGAAAATGCACATCATTGGCAATCTTGCACGATATGTTTAATGGAGGGTTGTGACAGTGATTCATCCTTAATACCTTGCCTTAGATGACTGGGCCAGATGGTTAGGTAAGCTCTGCTGATAATACCTAACTGGGTGTATTGTTTTGATTTGGAGCATCAAGATTTAAATAGTTAAGTATCAAGTTAAATTTGTATGCCATCCAGAGACATAGTTGTGCGTGGTCATATAAATCATTTAAATAAATAAAATGAGTAAATAGACAAATAATTAGATAATTAAAGTGACCTTAATTGTTAACTGTGGAGGGTATTATCATCTTTCCTTTACTAGTGTCAAATCAGTTTCTGGTCCAAATGCAATTGATTACAATCCATTCCTTCAACAGGGAAAAATTCATTCAGATAGTCTACCCTTATGGACTCAACTAGTTTCAAGTGGGTGCTTGTATATTTCCTCAATAATCTAGTTGGTGACGGGCCTGGTTTATCATTGACAAGAAGTGGCACTTAGGGCCATTGATGAAATTGCTTTTCAGCAGTTTCTCTTTGCCAGCTGATCATAAGTATCTATTTTATTTTGGGATTTCTCTTCTGGAAGGCATTTGAGGTATGACACCACCAAATTTTTGTCATTTTAGGTATTTTATTTTTGAATTGTTACAAATTGTTTTGTGTTTTGCTTTTTATGGCAAGCCATTATGAAAGAATGCAGACTTGACCATGGGAATGGGCAAAGAATGAGCAAACAGTTAAGGAAGGTTTTGAGAAGAAAATATTTAGTCTGAGAAAGAGGAAGGTATAACAAAGAAACTCAAAATAATCCTTTCTTTATTTTGTTTGTTATAAGATGAAACAGAGAGAAACTCTAACATGTTATCAAGATTTTGTTGTTCTTAGAATCTCTGCTATGTCTATTTCATAACCTTCTATATCTCAAAGGGTTGACTTCAGTCTCAAAAGCCCCTCTCTCACTGGAGAGGCATCAGGCTTAGGGTTTCCAGAGAACTGAACATGCAAAGGAGAACATGAACAATTGAAAAGGAGTTCACACTAACTATTTATCTTTCTTGGCATCGTTGACAAAAAACACAATGAAAAACAGTGAAACAAAGTATTTATGCCTATCTGTATATTAAATTACTTTCTCCAGCATCAGAAAGACTTATTTTTCAAATGCAGAAATGTGTTAGAGATTAGGAGGAAAATGCCTTCAGTTTGTAGCTTGTTAAGGTGGTGGTGGTGGTGGTGGTGGTGGTGGTGATGATGATGATGATGATGATGATGATGATGATGATGATGATGATGATGATGATAAAGGTGGAAGGGACATTGGAGGTCATCTAGTCCAACCCCCTGCTCAGGCAAGAAACCCTATACCATTTCAGACAAATGGTTGTCCAGCCTCCTCTTAAAAACTTCCAGTGTTGGAGAATTGTTAATTTCAGGCAATAGCACATGCAAGTTTGAGGGTACGAATTGAAGTCACAGAGCACAGCTTGTTAACTTGTGGGTAGCGTTTATTAGGAAAGGGTTGTGCTGCAGAGGAAAGCTGCTGAGGAAGAGATTTCTTATAGATATAGCTAGTCCTTGAGTTACGATGGTCATTTTATGTATTCCCCTCCCAGGCATTGTAAATCGTTGCACTATTCCCCCCTCCCCCCTGCAATGGCCACATGTTGGGCAGGTCAGATTTATGACCCTTTGGGGTGCTCTGCACTTACATGATCATTATTCCTGATGTTCTTCATTGGTTTCTGGCATTTTTGCTAGTTTCTGTCAAAAAACATTCATTCAAATGAATGGGTCCACTTAATAATCGCAGCATTTGCTTAAGGATCACCACAAAAAAATCCAAAATACTACTTTCAGTCACAGGGGTGTTTCTAATTACAACCATAATGACTTACAACCAGATTTCGGTCAAATTATGGTCATAGGTTGAAGACTATCTGTACTCAAAAAGCCAGATGATATTTGATGTTAGGATTAAGCCTGCTAGACAGAAGACTTGAGAACAAAACAAAGGACAAAACAAAACAAAATGTCTTCCTTTTGCCAGACACTGGTAACCCCAACTGGACCTCGAACATCATGACTCATCTTTGAAGTGCTCTGCTATCTTCAGAATAAGTTACCAAGGCATTATTATAACATCAACAACAGTCCGATACACAACTGACAAACATGTGCAACTATCACCTTGATTTTTTGTTTGGTATAATTGGAAATGGAGAGGAACTTTGTCAATTTTTCCAGATTCTGTTATTCTATATCTCAACAATAAAAAGCATTGCTGGAATTCCTGACGCGCCTGTTTCCTGTCCTGGCCTAGAAACAGCTGAGTCTGTTTAGATCAATGTCTCTCAACCTTGACAACTTAAAGATGTGTGGACTTCAACTCCCAAAAATCCTCTAGCCAGCATGAAGTTGAAGGGAGTTAAAGCGCACACATCTTAAAGTTGTCAAAACTGAGAAATGAGAATTGTGTATTTCCTTTTGCAGAATCCACAAAGGCAGAATGAAATAAAAAAATACCTAATAATATTATAGTATCAGTTAAGCCTCCAAAATCAATTTAAAAGACTAAGTTAAACGGTATGCTTTCTAAGTCTTTCCTAAAAGCAGAGACTGGGAGCCAATCTTAACTTAGAGACAATACATCCAGAAATCAAGATTTATGTAGAAGAAGCTCAGCCAGCTAACAAGAAGGCATGGTGTTTGGAGGAAACACCTAAGGGAAAAACTTTAAGAAAACACCAATAATTTTATGTTAAACAAAAAAATATTGGGTCACAAAATTATACAAAAGCTGAAATATATCGTTCAAGAACTTCAGAAACTAGGTTGTCTTTTGTAATTTTCTAAGCATCACAAAAGGCAACCTGATTTCTGAAGTTCTTGAACGATATATTTCAGCTTTTGTATAATTTTGTGACCCAATATTTCTTTGTTTAACATAAAATTGCCTAAGCTAGATATATATATAACATGTTTTATAGGCTATAAGGAATGTTCTTAATTAGTTTTTAATTATACATTCAGTGACATATAGCAGAATGAAGAACTTGATGTGTGCAGCATGAGAAGAAAAAAACAACTAAAACTTGGATCTGAAGAAAGACCTGAACAGGGGCAACTCTTGGGATATTTAAAATGGTCAGAATGTCCTCTAT